TTTAGACTATTTTAGCTCAAGTCCACTTTGATGGGCAATGTACCAGAAAGCTGGCAAGATTTGCACAAAAGATGGCTGACAGAGGGATAGAAAAATTTTAAACTTCAGCAAAATCTCCTCAAATTCCTCAAATGAGGGTGTCACAGGGACAGACTCTTTGTCATGCTCATGAAGATGGATACCTCCAAATTCCAAATACAGATGGAGATAGTACTTTAAGGAGTGTTTCTTCCCTCCCTTCAGGTGAAAGGAAGCCTCTAACAGATGCTGTTTGAGATGAGGATGGAATGGTAATACCACATTTATTAACTACCAATGCCTGCTAAATAACCTTTCACTTGCTCCTCTTCTCCTTCTCCCTTTATTCTTTTAGCTGGATCAGTTCTCCCATTCTGTTCACATGTGGCTGTATAAGCAGCAGAGTAACGTGTTAAAAAAACCCTGCAGTAAGAAATAAAACAGGGACAATAAGAAATGTCAGGGGAAAGAATGGAGCAGAGGTTCTACAGACCATTGGAAGTGCTGCTGCTGGGCATAGCCACACTCATACAACCTAGATTCTCAGAGTTTTACAAAAACAATAAATATCTAGCAAATGTTAAAATCTGATCTATGTATGGTATAATTTTAGACATACACCTGAACTAACGAATACCAAATAGCAATTATAGCAAGTTAAAAACAACTTAATGACAGCTTACATAATATGAGATTAAACTTAATTTTCTGATATCAATTTTAATTTATCAACATTTAGATAATTGAGATTTTTTTTTTGTAACAGTAAAACTGTACATCTGCTATTTACATCTACTTCCTAGACAGGTCAACACTTTTCTCAAAAAAAATTTGGTATCCACTACCTGTCAAAGATAGTACAATGAATGAGACAGGCCTTGAGGCTTCTCTGTTATGCCAGTTCCTGAATTCCTGTGTGTTATACTACAGACAAACCATATTCTACCTTAAAAAATAATAATTGAAGTTAAATATTAAAAAGTGTGTCAAAACAATGTTTCAATTCACCAAACTTGTTCATTATTTCATAATTTTTGATTAGGTAAAATTTTTAGGTTATTGAGTTTTCAGGATGGTAAAATATTTTGACCTGTAGAAAATGCTCAAAGATTATAAATACTACTTCTTTTCTAGCTGTAAGAATCATTGACAGATATGAGTGAAATCAAAGAGGTTTAGGTAAAAGTATTACATGAACTACTGAAAACTGAGTTCACACACTCCCAATTCAGTTTAAACTTCTTCCCTTGCCAAACACAAAACCCAATCCTAGAACTGGAAAGCAAAAATAAAGACCACAAAAAATGTTTCATACCTTTCCAGATCATAGTCACTCTTCAGATTACAGAACATTTTCAGCCCCAATGGCATTGTGGAAGAGTGAGTCGATTCACAGAGAAATAGCCTTATGTTCCAGTCTGAAAGGAAAATCAAAAGAAGAAATTACTGCACAAAGAAGAATCGTGTAAGAAAACTTACAGAATATGTTAGCTAATCGAGAGGATACAAATAATCAAATGCAAGAAATGTATTTTGCTACAGATTGTAAGAGAGATGATTTGAAGTAAAAGACAACAAAAACCCCAACCATTGGCCATCTACCACATCCTACTGAATCCCCAATTGAAGCTCTATTGCCTGATGTGCTGACAGCACATCAAATGATTGTTTAGAGATAAATTAAGGGCTGAATATATTTGGGGAATGCTTTAGGGCTTTAACTTCCTGCTTGCCCTAGTATTTAACTGTCACTCTTGCACAGAATAGGCAAAGACAATATGCTGAAAAATATTCAAAAAGGAATGCATTGTATGCTTTGGTTATGTTAGTGGAGAAAGTAGCTTTGGAAAAGTCAGGTAAGTTTTATTGAGCTTAAAAGTCCATCTGGCAAGTACGCCTTCACAGACAAATCTGTTTTCATGTATTTTCAGTCCTTGTTTCCTTGAGACCAATGTTGTTTTAAAGAATAATACTGACTACACATACACGGTTAATTCTGAAATACTGGTCTTAATTCACATTAAAAAATCTATTAATATGGCATGCATTTAGGTGGCTACTAACCATATTAAGGTAGGATTTATAGATTTTATAAATGTGATTCATATACACTTCAATCCATGTAAAAACAATAAATCTATGTGGTTGAATTATACTATTAAGAAATGAGGACAGAGAGAGGAGGGTTTCTCATCAAGTTTAAAAATAGAAAATCCAAGCCGTGCTGTCCATCTGGGACCAATAAGATAATATTATTGTAGGGTTTTCATCTTCATTTTCGCTTGGATTATTCTATTAAAGTTCTAGTGATAATTCCAGTATTTGTCACCAGATGGCACTGACACGACACTTGTAACCACTCTTAATACTCGATTAGTAACATAATGAGGTCATCTTCAGATGATTACAAAGTATGCATCACTATTTCAGATTGCATTAAGCAATGTTCCTCCACACTGCTATGTTTATACCATCACGCTCACTGGCACAGCTATGACAGCTTGTATTTTTAATATTCTTAGCCAACTGAACCTTGTAAGAAAAGCTCAGTAGTGGAGACCAATACCTACCTAGTGTGGAATTTGTAAACACTCCTTGCTCCTCCTATTGACTTTTTTATAATACACATGAATTTATGGTTGTATATTTAGATGGTTACAGCTTTTATTACTAATCTGATTTGGAAATCAGTGTTTGAAAACCATGACAATTTTACTACATGGCACTGGCAAAAACTTATCAAGCAGATAACTTCACATCTCCCTTTTCTCATCTACTGATGAGTATACCTCTACAATGCATAGCCACATAATTTCTAACATATATCTCACTCCCTTTACATGTTTACCCATTTTAGAAAGTTACTGGTTTGTTGTAAGTTAGTTCTTTTCTGTCTTAACACTTGTTATCAAATCCTAAATATATCACAAACCATACCTCTTTGGACAGTCAAGATGAGTAAGCTTTAGGGACTTTAATACCTCCCTCATGTTCCTACACTGCCTGACTTCCTGCCTTTGCTGAGTAGATATCCTTCCTCTACTGATTTTCAGAGCTTTAAATCTAGGTTTAGCTTGATGCCCTACATCTGTGAGTCTGCTTCAGGAAGAGGTGGGCTGATAAAGCTGGGAACTTGTTTTTTTCAGGGTCCTGGTACAAGATCAGAGACAGAAGGAAAAGAACTGAGATCTTTTTTGTACCTCAAATGGAAAAACAAGACAGAGGAACTGAAATATTCTCCAATAGACAAGGAAACCCCTGAGCAACAGATCCATGCCTGTTGTAGAATTAACTTGTTCTTGAATATCATGCTTAATATTGGTTTCTCCAAAGGACAGTATATGCCATGCACTAGCTGAAGTAACTATTAACATCATGAGATCGTTTGGACTTTTTCAGTGCTATCATTGTACTAATGAAACAAATAATATGGTTATTTTCTCCTTAAGTCTTGCTCTACTGGCCAGGAGTTCCCCTATGTGATGCAGTGCTACATGGACACCTAAAGTGCTTATGCTACTGTGTTAGCAATTACTGAGCCAAGAATGGATTATCAGGCTTTCTATGAGGCAACTAGCAAACTAATGAGCTCTTTGTCTGATGAAACTATGCTCCCATTGAACTACTGTTTGAAACACACAGATCAAACCAGGCAGCTGGGCATCTCGCAGGTGAGCAGGAGAGCAAACTGTAGTCTTGTGCTGCAAATGAGAGATATATGTAGTCTTTGCTACAAGAAGGGGTGCTTGAGGAAGGATACATTTGACTTCACACCTCTCAGAAGAAAGTCATCCCCTTTATAATGAAAACTGTTGCCCTGTAAGAAATTGTTCCAGAAGCAGCAGACATAACAAGCAGCAGACAAGAGGTCTCAGAAGACCTCTCTTCACTGAGATTCGTCTCCTACATCTGCCTCAGTGTACATTTTTCCTGTCCTGTCCATCCGCAAGTCCTCCCATGCTCCACTGCAGTGCCCGGGTGGTCCTTCCTGCCCTGCATCAGAAATAGTGTGGCCAGCAGGACTAGGGAAGTGATTGTCCCCCTGTACTTGGCACTGGTGAGGCCACACCTTGAGTCTTGTGTCCAGTTTTGGGCTTCTCACTACAAGAAAGACATTGAGGTGCTGGAGCATGTCCAGAGGAGGGCAATAGAGCTGATGAAGACTCCAGAGTGCATGTCCTATAACGAGCAGCTGAGGGAGGTGGGGGTGTTTAGCCTGGAGAAAAAGGAGACTCAGGGGTGACCTTATGGTTCTCTATGACTATCTGAAAGGAGCCTGTAGCCAGGTGAGAGTCAGTCTCTTCTCCCGTGCAACTAGTGACAGGATGAGAGGACACAGTCTTAAGCTGTGCCAGGGGGGGTTTAGTTTGGACATTAGGAGGAATTTCTTCACAGAAAGGACGATTAGACATTGGAATGGACTGCCCAGGGATGTGATGGAGTCATCGTTCCTGGAGGTGTTTAAGAAAAGACTGGACATGCACTTAGTGCCATGATCTAGTTGGCATGTTGGTGTTCGGTAAGAGGTTGGACTCGAGGATCTCAGAGGTGTTTTCCAACCTAAGTGATTCCGTAATTCTGTGATTTCCAGGGCTGTCCCTCCAGCCGCCTCAGCATCTCTCGTGTCACGCCTGCCTCCCTCCTCCGCAGCGACCAGACACCCCACCAGGGCATCTCACCTCCCTGCCTTTCCCTCGGGAGAGAGACCCCATCGAGGGGCTCCTCTGCCTGGGGACCGGCTGAAGAGACCATCGCTCTAATATAACATGGCTGCGCCGGCGTCGGCTCTCCGTGCGGGCGAGTCACGCACCGAGGGAACCTCTGGGCGGGTTACCCCCCTCAGGCAGCGCAGCCGCTGCCACGCACTTGCCTCTGCGGAGTGGAAGACGGAACGCCGTGAGCCGTAGGCGGCAGCCGTAGGCGCAGCCACGGCCGTGAGCGGGAGCGCTGCCTCTGGGCGGGGCTTCTGCGGGGACTTTACAACTCGCCGGGGCTGGCGGCGGCGCCATTTTGAATCGGCCGAGGGTCGGAGGCGGCGGCTGCGGAGCTGGGTTCCGCGTCACCCGAGCGAGAACCGGCGAGGAAGGAGCGGATATGGCCGCGAATAGGAACTTGAAGCAAGTGCGGATCGAGAATAGCTCCCCAGCGGCGCCGCTGGGCATGGTGGGGGGTGGCGGCGGCGGCGGAGGCAACCTGAAAGGATTGCGGGGCCTAGAAACGGAGAGTGAGGCGGCGGCGGCCATGGCGCTGGCGCCGAGCAAAGAAGGTGGCGGAGATGAGGAGCAGGAGGGTGGCTTCACCATCGATATCAAGAGCTTTCTCAAACCTGGAGAGAAGAGCTACACTCAGCGCTGCCGGCTGTTCGTGGGGAATCTGCCTACGGATATCACCGAGGAGGATTTCAAGCGCCTCTTCGAGCGCTACGGGGAGCCCAGCGAGGTCTTCATCAATCGGGACCGTGGCTTCGGCTTCATCCGCCTGGTGAGGAGCCGGGCGAGCCCCTGTGGCTGCCCCGTGACCCAGGGGCTGCCTCTGCAAGCGGGACGCTTCGGTCCATTGCCCCCCGCCCCCTTCCCTTCCTTTTCGGCGGGTGTAAAAAAATGGCAATGTCTGCCTCTCATTCTCTCTGCTCGCTGCTAGCGCTGGTCCCTCCCCCTCCTCTTCTTTCTCCCCCTTCCCCTGTTACATGCAAGCCAAAGCCTTGCGTTCTGAGTAGCCCTCCCGGCCCCTGGCGTTTCGGACCCCGCCTCACCCGTAGGCGCTGGGCAGAATTATTTCGAAATACCGCTGCTCACACATCGTGAAAACAGAACATACAATCATGGAATTGCAAAGAATGGGGGACCTTGGTTTATTTAAATCACTTGTGCCCACATAAGACTGGATTTTTAGGGGTTGAGCATGCAAAAAAAGGAATCATCCGGAAAGTTTATGATAATGTATTTAAATGTCAATTTAATATGCAGTTTTGGTTTTCATGATTGCCGTGTCTAGAATGCTCCTATTTATATCATTCTCAGAATAGGTTTAGAGTTCCTTGGGTGTCTCTAAATATGATTTTTTCATATATTTTACTGGCTAGCAATTTTTTTCTTTTTGGTTGTCATCTTTAAATGCTTGTGGCATTCTGCCATGCATCTTTTACCCTGAGAGTTCCCTAGCCTGAAATAGCAATTTTCTGGAGGAAGTGTGATGTATTTACATGCCATTATTCAGTTTTGTATGTAATATAGATCAGATAGAGCTTTTATGTGAACTTCCCTTTTCCATTATGTTCAGGAAATGTTTATATATATATATATATATATCTATTAGCTTACCTAGTCAGTTGAACTGTGGAGAAAGATCTTAAGAATAATTTCTTTAAGGGATTGCAGGTATCAAACTCGGTGAAGTGAGGAAAAAAAGCAGTTGTTCATGCACACTGTCTCATGGACGTGGGTGCAGAAAGCCTGTAAATGTGAGAAGATATGAGCAGAGAAGGTGATTTCATCATTTGTTGATGAAATTTGAATTGGACATCCATTGAGAGCAAGTGTGATATTTTCACTTATGAAAAAGCAAAACAAGAAGCCAAACCAAAACACCTTAGGTGCTGTAGTGTAGTCTTTGAAAATACTGTTCCTGCTATGTGGAGCTAGGAATGAAGAATATAAACATCTGAGTAGGTAAATATGAAAAAGCATCAAGTTTTCAGCTCTACTCAAAGTCTTTATGGGGCAGCACTGTCATAATGGAAATTTGTTAAGTCCTCAAATGTGCAACAAAGATTAGTGTGTGTGTCATTTTTTAGAATAAATCATAGGGGATGACAGATGCCTTTTTTTTTTTTTTTTTTTTTTTTTTTTTTTTTTTTTTTTTTTTTTATGATTGGTGAGGGAAAAGGTTGAATGACGCTGATGCTAGTGTGGTCAAGTCAAAGAAAGCAACTTTGCTCCTTCTTGAGGGGGGACACATGAAAGTGGCATCTGTTGTCTTTGAAAATAAAATCTATGAAATATTTTCTGTCTTGATAAAGGAATCTAGGACCCTGGCTGAAATAGCGAAGGCAGAACTTGATGGTACTATTTTGAAGAGCAGACCACTTCGAATTCGATTTGCTACACACGGAGCTGCCTTAACTGTCAAGAATCTTTCACCTGTGGTTTCTAATGAGCTGCTGGAACAAGCATTCTCTCAATTCGGGCCAGTGGAAAGAGCGGTTGTTGTAGTAGACGATCGTGGCAGAGCTACAGGAAAAGGTTTCGTAGAGTTTGCAGCAAAACCTCCAGCACGAAAAGCTCTAGAAAGATGCAGTGATGGGGCATTCTTGCTAACAACGTAAGTTCCCCAGCTTTTGTTTGAATTTGTGTGAGTGTATCTTTCTGCTGTGAACAAAAGCTGCATTCATGGGCATTTCCTAGTTCTTAAGAAGACTGAGATTCTGAGATTTTGTTTATAACAATAATCTCTGGAAAACTTCTATTTCTAGGGCAAGCAAACTTACAAATTGCAGACCTTCTCCTACATCTCTTATTTCTGTAAGTGCTGAAGAGGGTCGTTCAGTGCTGTACTTCACCACATTCACAAGTGACATTTTCAAATGCTTTCTGAAAGACTATTTGAAATGAAAAAATAGTAATTTTTTTTTTAATTTTTATTTTTCTGATTCTCATTTGGGAAAATAAGACTGTGCTTTCACAGTCTGGAAACTTGCTGCCATTGAATTGGGGAACGTGTAGTTCTTTTCTTACCTTGGCTGTGCTGTTGATCTTTTTATCTGCTTGAGAACTTCATGATATTTCCGTAAGCCTCTTGTGCTTGCTAAAACAACAGAAAAGCATTCAGTTTTTCTTGGGCTCTTTTTGGTCTGTTTAAACACATGATGGTGCTTGCTAATGTCAGGTGCAGGAGAAAATGTTATCAGAAGGAGATTGCAGGTGGGTAAGGGGTCTGGAACTCCTATTTCTTGTGATAATCTCATAAATCTCGTGTGCCACTGAGCTGATTTGGTTGCTACATAGTAAATTCATTCTGAATAGGTCTTTACTGTTATCAGGAGGTGCCAGCAATTTATTCTTATCCCCTGGGTTTTCTTGGCATTGGTATTTGAATGGAAGCGTGGTGAGCCAAACAAGGGAACTAATCTATTCCAGTGTTACATGAGTGTTATTTTTGGCGTGAGAGATGTGGCAGGGGGAAGAAGCCAGGATATGAGGGGTAGTAGTCTTGTTTTACCAGCTGGATAGATTATTTGAATTGACCATCTAACTGTGGCCTCGGTGAATAAAAAGCTCTTGATCTTTGCCTTGCTTAGGTGGCTGACATGTTCCCTAAAGCACAATTGCAAAGATAATTAACATGAATCTGGTGTCATGATATTTTTAAGTTTTGCTTCAGAGTCTAAATCACATTTATTAGCTGAAAACTCTTTGCCTGATGAGAAGAAAATCTTTAAATTCATGGGTTAAATGTATCAAAACTAGACATCTGAAACAACGATCTATAGATTTAAAATTGTTTTGAATCATAACTTGTTAGTGCCACAGTTCAGTTGCGTTTAGCAACTGTCATCAATTGCCATGCAGATACCATCAGAAGAAACAGTTGTTGAGTTGTGCCCTGTGATTCCAGACTTCATCTTTTTAATCTAGACTTGATGCACCAAGCGGTGGGTGATGATCTGCAAGGTGAAATAAAGGTGTGGAACATAATAAATGAGTGCTGGTGTTTCTAGCGGTTTAAAGTATGTTTTGTAGGCACTGCTCCCCAGACTGATGCAGAGAGTTTTTTACACAGTTCAGGATTCTTATACTGCTATCTGTGGCAGTACTGGCCAGTACTTGCCTCTAGTTACTACATTTCAAGGACGTGATTTTCAAAGATAAATTAGGATTCTGATTTGTGAGTGTATGGTTGTTCAAAGAATGGGTTTTAAATAACTTAAGCAGAAATGTCTTTCTAATTATCACTGGAATATTAATGCCAAATTACCAAGGTGTTTTCAATTGTAGAGAAACTTTCAATAATAAGTTCTAAAAGTCTCTAGAAATATCAAATTAGGTTGTGTTATTCTGTTTTGAATTTGAGGCTTTCTCAGTATAATCATGGCCCCCCTGTTGCCTCACTGATAGAAACAAAAAGGTAGTTCCTTCCTAAGTATGTTGTAATTGTTGGTAGATGGTTTTGATATTTTAAAAAATCTTTCCTTCATAGCAAACAGAACTAAGTCAAGTAAGTTGTGGTTTCTGGGCTGAACAGCTGGTTTTGGGCATAGAAACAATTATTTTCAAAGGTAATTCTTAAAATCAGGATTCATTGACATTCTATGATTTAAGGCAAGATACAGGAATTATAGAGTACGTTTTAGCTTTCTGGAATGTTTCCTCAGAATGCTAAAATAACTGTAACTGCTTGATCTGTGATTCAGTTATTAAATTGGAAATGTTTTCCAGAACACCTCGACCTGTTGTTGTAGAACCAATGGAGCAATTTGATGATGAAGATGGACTCCCAGAGAAGCTAATGCAAAAAACACAACAGTACCACAAGTAAGTTGTGATTAGCTTTATTTTATAAAACATGATTTATGTACTTAGTTACCTTGATAAATATACACAGATTTTTATTTTTGGATTTGAGTAACAGGAAGTACTGTGTTGTATGTCATGCTGTTTTGTGTTAAAGGATTAAACAGGGCCTTCCCAGAATTTTCTAATCATAGTAAAATTCTGATTTGGCTTGTTGGTTTTACATTCTGTGTGGTTTTTAAAGTAGAGAGATTCTTGACCTACACTGCAGTCAGTGGGAGCCTGTTGCCAGACAAGCTGTAGTCTTTTATGGATTAGGGGTGTGGTCTAATCCTGCAGAGATTTGTGTACCCTCAGATTTTTATGTTCTCTGAACAGTCCCTTAACTGTTTGCAAACTCAGTGGGTGGTACGTCTTTGCAGCTTCCACAGTTCGGATAAAACTTTGAGCGTGACATGAAAAAGTGAATCTTGATCGTGAGGTAGAGGAGTCACCTAATCTGAAAATACTTATTTTTAGTATTGTAATTTGCCATTAAAAATCATATTGCTTGAAACTAAAATCTGTATTCTGGTAAGGCTGTAGAATACCACTTCCTAAAAATTGGTGACTGTTAGGTACAGTATTAGTGTTAGAACAGGAAATAAAATGTTGACACCTTTTAATGTGTACAGATTCTGGTTAATATTCTGAGCTGTCTAATAAGCTTTGATAGTTATCTAAATAACTGGTTTTATGAATTGACTGCTTGCTTTGGAAGGCTGAACACAGTTAATTTGGTGTTGTACCTTGGTATTTTGTACTGGTGTAAATACGAATTTTTATCTTAAATAAATTGGGCAGATCTTTATTGGACAATTTTTGGAAAACTGTCTCTGTTACTTTGTTACTTGACTTAACAGCCAAATTAAGCTTTATCTGGTTTGGAATATAGTCATCTGACAGGTTGATGTAGGGTCAGATCTGCACTTGAAGTTATTGTTTATACATGCTCTGGCTGTTGCAGCTGTTGATCTAAACGTGTCCTTCTGTACATTTTAACTGCAAAATTTTTATTAGGGAAAGAGAACAACCTCCACGTTTTGCTCAGCCTGGAACGTTTGAGTTTGAGTATGCTTCACGGTGGAAGGCTCTCGATGAGATGGAAAAGCAACAGCGTGAACAGGTCGACAGGAACATTAGAGAAGCCAAAGAGAAACTAGAGGCAGAAATGGAAGCAGCTAGGCATGAGCATCAGTTAATGCTGATGAGGCAAGGTAATATTGGATAATCTACTAGTATTAAATTTGTTTTGTCACAGATTTTTTTTTTGTGTAGCATATCATGCTGTATGTTATACTTAAAGATTTTGCCAGCCACTACTCAATGAAATGCATTTAACTGAGAAAAAAGAGGTAATATTTCTCCTTACACATGTTCTTAAATGATTTGCAGAAATGAATTAAGAAACTGAGAAAGGGGCAATTGTCTAGGTCTATTTTCTTCACTTTAAATTTGTCTAGTTACATAGTTTGTGTAAAATAATTGAATAGTAGCTTCACATTCATCAGTAAAGATTATTTTCCACTTTTGATGTTCCTTATGGTACTAGATAGGACTGAGTACTATTTGCCGGTCATGTGCAGGGAAAAATAAAATGATGGCTTGTACTTGTAGCTGTTTTGTACACCTCTAGTATGATATTAAATGTTCCAGTGGCTAATGTTACTTTTTTTCCTTTGAAACCCAGCTGAGAAGTCTGATATGTGCCTAGTATTATATGTATGTAACAACTCAAAATAGCACACAGTTGCCGTGAATTTCTGTTGTTGTTCAAATTTTAAGATTATTTATCCCTTTTTTGTAATTATTTGAACATCTTGTCTTTCCTAATTGGGGCAAAAAGTTCTTTAGCAATTGCTTTCAAGCCTTATCTTTACGAATGGAGCAGGGTGAAGCTTGTGTTTCTTGGGCAGAGAGAACAGTAGCGGGGCAAGTACTAAAGGTTTTTGTTTTTTAAATCTAAAGGGAGATCATGGCTGCCTAAAAAAATTTTTATCCCTCAGAGTGTTAGATCATAAGACAGTACAACAAGCAGTTTGATAGACTGAATAAGAATGCCTTATCATTGTGACGTGATGTGAACTTGATGAGATTTTAAGTAGTGGATGCATTTCGAAACCTAAACCCAATTTACTGGCAGAAGTTGTTTGCTGCAGTTACTTGGCTTTACTTAAAGCTTACACTTACAAAGGGACATTTTTGTCAACAGTATGACCTCCCTGTGTGGGACTGGTTTCTTTTAATTTTTTTCCTGCTTACTTGGAGGCAACGTTGAAAGTATATGAGGTAGATTAGGTTAGTCACTAGACTGGTGGAATTAGAGAACCTAAATGCTTGAATATATTGCATGTAAATGCAGAGTCTTCTAAAATAAGCTTTAAAACATTTTCATAATTGGGAAGGAGTTTTAAAGGAACGTACTTAATTTTTTATATAGTATTTTTAAAACTACTGCAACTGAAAGTTGTCATTAGGAAAAAGTTTATTTAGCCTTTTTTTCCTGACTAGGCACAAATGCTTTCAGTGTGAAGCCATGCTGTTTTTATAAGGTCTTATATAGAGCATAATTACTAAAACCATAATTTTTATATATAATAACATATAAAGCATAAGATCTAATACAGAGCGTAGTAACATCGTAAACTGTTTTGCAGCACCTGAAATGACAACTGTCATGTTGTTTCTTGGTTTACTTTCCAAGAAAAGATGTTAAAGTGTTTAGTTTGTGTGTAAGCATAGATGTATCTTACAGGTGAAGAATGTGCATGTTAATAGGATATAACAGCAATGCCTATACTACACCATACAGCCCTCCCTTTTCAATTAGACATATATTTTTAATTCTGTGTGTATATGTGATAGATATTTCCTAGGATGGTTCAGTGCTGAAGATACAGGTTGGATAAATTTACCATTGACTTACCTAATTGCTAATATTTAACAGTGTTAATGGTCCAGTTCTAGAACTCATGCTCTTATATTTTCTCAGAATTCATTCACCTGTTGCCTGTATTTGAGGGCAAGATTAGGGATTGCTTTTTCTTAAATTATCACGCCTTAATTATGTTGAGTGAGACAATATGACAGTAGCCTATTTATTAAGATAGAAAAGCTCTTGATGGTAAAACATGGGAAAGCAGCTTAGATGTGTTTTGTAGATACTGGGGTTTCTTTTAAGTACAGTGTGAAGGAAAAGATATTCCTCTTTTGAAATATCTATTAAGCCCTGCTTTTATATGGAAAAGGAAGAGAATTACTGCTCCCATTAAAGAGCCACTAGAACATAAATGCATTTGGTGCTAATATTCCAGTGAGGAAATGTGCTTTCTGTTAGTGTGGGAGGAGGATTTGTTTTCCCCTCACAGTTCAGTTAGCAGAGTACTTTCTTGGTACCAGATAACTTGGAATTTTGTTCAGCTAATTAGATTTCTGCTGATTCACCTGCAGATGTTTTCCAAGATCTAGGGGTTAGTAAGTATTCCTTCTGTTTTAAGCTCAATTCTCCAGCTTCAGTATGTATGAAAATAAGGTTATGTTTTTGTTTGTGATTTTTTTTTTTTTTTTAGAGATTAGCTGCCTCTAAATGTTATTGGTCTAAACAGTGTCTGTGGGTCTAAGTTTATGCCATGCTGAGAATATTAATTTTATTAATAAGATTGCATCGCAGGGTTTTTAAGAAAGATGCAATGAAACTTCTAAGGCATCAGAACCTAGAATTAATATTTTTGTATACCTGATGCACTAAGTCAGATTTAAAGATGTATTAGTTATTATAAAATATGAAATGCAATATTTTAATTATGTAGGAGCTAAAAAGAAGATGAAATAATGAGCTTACTGGTCCATATACTCCCGCAAGTGAAGGTTTTGTAGAAACTGCTTTATGAGAGTTAGCAGGACTTGAACTCTAGAATGTGTTGGTTTAAGTACTCACATTTTTGTGGTGTGGTATTAATGCTGAAGGTAGATTTCATTCTTTTGATATGTGTAATTTTTCACTTTTAAGTGTCATGTTTTGACAGACTGAGTCAGAAGTAATTTGTAAAGCAGAATACGTGTTTCCATGTGTAAGTAAATTACGTGATATTTCTGGTCTACATACTGTGGTATGTGTCAAGCTTTTATAAATATTCTCTCATAATGATGGTTAAATAGATTATGAAAATATTGGGAAGTGTGACTGAATTTAAGCAGAAGCTTAATTTTTATATCAATTAGTGGAAGCTTGGCATTTATTTCCATTTTTAGAGCCTGAAAAATCAGCAGCTAAAACTGCTTAAAAGTCTTTGTGGAGTTGGTATTCCAACTTGTAGGATTAACTTCTGAGATAAGAGTACACTTTTACCTTCTTCCATCTGCTGTGTGGAAGGATGAGGATAAAATGAAGATGTTGTCCTTTTAGAAGCACAAGAAAGTGCAGAGGCTTTTTGGGTTTTTTTCCACAGTTGGTTTACTGCAGATTTTTTCAGTTCGGAGAAAGAGCCCGTGTCCAACATATGTCAGTAAAGAATTACCATATTGCAGAGCTTTTAATACGGATGGCTCTTGTGCACAGCCCAGACCTGTATATCAGTATTTTCCCTTGGCTCGTAAGGCTTTGTGCCAAGATTCTGCTGTTGTCAAATGCTACTGAATCATGAATTGCTGTGTTGAACTTTAAAATACTAACAATTTCAACAAAGGCAATAATCACAGCTATACAATGGAAAAAAATTAAGAGAACAGTGGGAAAAGTAGTGTGCTACACCTTAAGAGCAAAGGGCAGTAATGATAAATTTGTAGCAATTACTAATGGAGAGAAAGTAGGAAATCCTGTGCCAGTGTGCACGAGAACTAGGGAATGCTACATAAAATTTAAAGAACAAAGAAATGAAAAGGAAACATCTATTCCCGCAGTGGACAGAGTATAGAGTGGGTCAGTTCTTAATCTCTGATACCCTGAAGCAACCTAAAGGTTCATTTTAAAAGAAGAGTACACTTGCACTCTGAAATATTCTGAAGGTTATTTAAAAGGAAAAATAGTGTGCTTGTGACATTCCTGAAGTATCAGGATAACAGTGGCCAGGCCTTTTATGGCAAGCACTGTTGGAAAGAAGTGGCCCTCAGACTTTGTGATTTGAGTGAATCTTCGATGTAGTCATATTCTGTTCAAGTGTGAAGTGTGTTAATTTTGCAGAAGAGATTGGAAAAGCAATCCTGCAAAATGTGCTTGAGAAAAGACTTCTCATGTCAATAAGGATGTTGTGAGAGTAAAAATCTGATAATCTTTGTTAGAAATGAAAACAAATACATGATATTTGGGCAAAATATACTGGTCATTGTAGTTTCGGGATATCAAAGTAAAATTTTAAGTTATAATAATTTATGTTGATGCAATTTTGAGGAAAGTGATTTGCATAGCTAAAAAGATTATTTAATTAGTATAGTGAAGAAACACATAGAGAAATGTGCAGAATAGTTGAACTAAAACATAAAAGGCATATAATAGTTTGTATGGGTGGAATGTTCCTGGTGGTGTCTATAAATAATGTCTTGTGGCCAATGTACTCTGAAGATAGAAAAGACAAAGAACTGCTTCCTAACAAAAGGTAGAATTAGTATTCTTTGAAGAAAGGATAAATTTCCAGGCAGGAATCAATAATATGACTGGTCAGCAAAAGTAATAACTATGAGTTGTGCCTTGCTGTTTAAGAGCATTTTAAGTGCTTCTAAAGAGGCTATGGCTCTTCCTTTCTGGTGGGGGTTAAAATACGAGTAATTTCTAAATTGCTATAGAGTCATGTGATAAATCTTCATGGAGGTTTGAATTTCATGCACAGAAATTCATATAATTTTTTTTTTCTGACGTGTGCCATTATAGTGGTCTGCAACAGATAGTGGAGAGTATAAGTAAGTCCATATATATTATACTGGTAGTGTACTAGGTGTAGTGCACTTCATACTTGGTAGTATGACTTTAGCAGTATATGGCATTGTGAGAACATTGATGCCCTGCCCCAGGATGTGATTTAAGGGATTGTGAGGTTTTTCTACTTTTCTCTAAGGACTTTAAATTTCTGTTGTCATAACCTGCTGTGGAGACTTTACCCATCCTGTAGCTTTCTGCCTTTGTGAGCCATAGATCCAGTGTGTTTTTTCATAGCTTTATGGGAAGAAATGAGTTAAATGCATTGATGAATTTGTTTAAAATTTGAATGTTATAACTGTAACCCTACAAGAATAACAATTTTTATGTTGCCACACTATTAATTGACAGCTTTTATATTTAAATACACTTTTAATCCCGGTAGATCTCATGCGTCGTCAAGAAGAATTGAGGCGTTTGGAAGAACTTCGAAATCAAGAACTTCAAAAACGCAAGCAGATACAATTGAGGTATTTTGTCTTCTACTGTGCAAAAGTGTGGCATGCAGCTGCTGTAGGCCTGTGTGAATTTAGATACTTCAGCTTGTCGAGCTTGCTATTGATACCAAATAGAAGTGTTTCTGCTGCTAAAAATTTGCTTTTCAAAAGCATAATATGTGCCGTTTCTGATAATGTTAATATAATGCTAATGTAAAAGAATGGTTTCGAGTTTTCCTTGAATTTTTTCATTTGTATCAGCTCTGCTAGTTCTGTTGTAAATTTCTGAGATTTCTAAATAGTGTAGAAATGTTTTAACATAGTTTTTTTGTTTCATATTTATTTTAACCTTGTCACTGCAGCTGTGATAGATGTGAACATGCTTCTAAGATTTATGGGCAGGGGATCTGCATATAGAACTGTAGCATTGCAATTTTATAGTCTGACATGGCATTTTGGAGGGTGATTTCACTTTATGTTCTGGTATATTGCAAATATTGGTTTTCGTGTCTCTGCTAAAATTTAAGAAAATAGACACAGTATCATCACGCTGATTAAGTTTATACTTTTTGTGTTAAATATCACAATAAATGTTAAGAAAAGAGAACAACACAAACTCAGAGTTAAAAATGTATGTGTTGGCAGTATTGAAATGTTTTAATCCATAGTGACTTGTTAAAAAGTTTTAACCTGCTTACCAGTATGTACCTGAAAGACTACATAGTATATACTGGTATTGCAATTACCTGGATTCCAGTTTAAAAAAATTTAAAAATACTTCAATAATATTCCAACTTATCAAGTGGAGTAGATTAGTGCTTTACACTGTATAAAAAAATAAGTAATGACCAGTTTTGTTTATACGCTTGATCTTATGTCCTGAGACTGAGTAGCAGACTGAACAGGTGAAGATAATAAGTTGACATAATTTTTGAAAAATATTCTAGACATGAAGAAGAACACAGACGTCGTGAAGAAGAGATGCTACGTCAGAGGGAACAGGAGGAATTACGACGTCAGCAGGAAGGAGGATTTAAGCCAAATTTCATGGACAATGTAAGTCAAAATCTATGATGAAAGTCCAAATTGCAAAATAATTTTCTTATTGTATTATTTGTTGTATTAGCTATTGAATTGCCATCTTCATGTTTACTGTTTTTAATTTAGAATTCCGTCATTCTCCTGAGAGAAGTGGTGCATATTCAGTAGTGTAGTTATTCTCTTGTATGATGACATCACTGTTATTTTTCCTACGAGCTGGTGATGTAACACTTCAGTTACCTTAAGGTGTTTAGATAATTTGTCTTTTTTTATTTGGGAAAGGGGATGGGAATCAATGATATTTCCATGAGGAGGTGCCTTAGTCTACTTGAAGGTTTAAATTTGAAACCAGTTCATGGTGTTAAGCTTGTTTGAATTGCTTGTTTTGGTTTATGCTTACCTTAAGAATAATATACTCCAGAAACAAAATGGGCAGTATTAATTTCATATGGAGCCTGAAATCACTCTTCTTTTTGACCCTACTGTAAAACTAGATGAAGAAAATATAAAAATCTTTACTAAAGGAGACTGAAAGATTATAAAGGTGGGAAAAAATTGTCCTCTTCTATAATTTCTACATTATTTATATTAGTAATTTAGATATGCTCTGCCTCTGCAGGACTAGCAAAATGGTGGTATCAGAGGAGTCAGCTTCTAAATTTTCATGATGATCTGTTTTGGTAAAGGAATATGGCTCTCTCTACCAACCAAATCAGCTAAATGAATGCAACCTGTGTTGCAAATGCTTTAGTTTCGTATGAGTAGGATATCTTTTACTGTTACAGCTATTCTTAGTGAGGAAGCAATGAATAAGCGATTCACACAATGCTCTTTTATGTTATTATAACAACTGTAGTCTGCAGGAGGGAAATTTGCTCCCCTTCACAGATACAACTTGGTACATGAATCAGAAATGAACTGCTGATTTCTCAGCTTCTTTCTGTTTTTGTGGAAGAAATACCTATTTTACATTCTATACCTTAAAATTTTCTGTGTGGTTGCAAAGAAGTTATTACGTATGTACTGGGACATCCTAAGAGATGCTAGAAAATAAATGATTTCCTGCTCTTGGCAGGACATTTTTCCCATCCTCTGCCACTTAGTGTTTTTAATAAAGATTGGGAGACAGCAAAATAGTTCTTTTGATTATACTAACAGCTATCAGTTGATTTTTCACTCAGTGTTTTGAGGGACTTGGATCAAAAAGCAGTTAGTCTTTTATTTCTGTAAGTGCTCACACTGTAAAAGAAAATTGCTTTCAGCATGTCTTTTTTTCGGGCTGATGAAGACCAGGAGTTCAAAACTCATACTGTCCTTTAGTGTGTTCCAAATATTATTAAACGGACTTCGGTAAATAGCATATAACAGTTGCCTGATGTAATTTTGAAATAGTACTTACTGATTGTGACTTCTGTACTGCCAAATGTGAAATTTCATTTCACCTTAATATCTTAATGTAGCATCTTTTAGGGTCACCTGACTTTCTGACCCTGTAAGCTACCTGTCAAAATCCTCCTATGCCTGTTGTGTGAGGCCTGTGCTTCTCACTGCGGAGAACTGCACCAGCTGGAAGCTGGGGAGCCAACCCACAGGCTTGGGATAGTGGTAGCTCCTGCAGATTCCGTTGCTGTTAGGAGGTTGTGGCCTATATTCTGCAGCTTGGAGTGCTGGGGAAAACCAGATAATGTTGGCCACCACAGCTGTTAACTGCTTTTCTTCTTATATCTGTCTTGAAAAAATGTTATTTAGTCTCTGTGCTTGAATTGCTTGCCACAGTTTGGCCATCCTCATTCCTTATCTACGTTTTTAAATTCCAAACTCTGTGTAAATAGAAACTATCCCAAGTTGCTGTGCTGGACTTGGCAAAAATGTAGGGTAAGAAGGGAAGAGGAGTGGTTCGAATGGAAAGCACTTCAATCACCACGCACAATTTTTGTGACTTTTATACGTTGAATTTTTTTGGAGGGGAAAGGCAAAGGTGGAAGAATGGTTTGGACAAATGTAGCCTCCCCACTGTGTTGGGTTCATCTGGAACTAATTATGCACTGCTAGAATATATATTTGTAGCTGTGCAGTAACAGCCCTACTGAAAGTGCGGAAAGTTATATGTAAAGGAATATGTAGTACAGGTGTATTTTTAAATGTCATATGAAGTGGCATATACAATAATATATGACAAAAATCTTTTATCTAGACTAGTCTTTAGTATTCTGGTCATGTTTTGACGTGTGTTTTACTTCTGATGTTCTTTGAACCTTAAAAAAAGGGTAGAATGAAACAAAATTGAAAGTTACGTGTTTACTTACTTTCTTTAGCAGCAGTTTCTAATCAGGGCAGCTCTGTGACTAAGCTCGCCTGTCATTTTATAGGTGTTTGTTACAACATTTTTTTAGATAACTGTACTTAGGTAGTGTGAATGGGAATTGAAAAAGCCTTTGCATTTTGCAGCAGACAAAAATTGTGAACTATGTCTGGAGATTGCAAAATGATACATCAAATCTGTTTTCAACTTAGAATTTCTTATACAACTGATTTGTTTTTATTTGTTCTTACTAATACTTGTTTACTGGGAACAGATTCCATCTGGTACTTACTTCTAGTCTCAGATTACCATTGTACATATACTGAAAAAGTTATTCTCTATTTTAAAAGTTGACTGTTGGTAAGAATTGCATTTTTTTGTACTGGTGGATAGTTTTTTACCATATCAGGTCTTGAGAAACTCTTTTGGCATAATCCTTATAACATTAAAATTCTCTTGCCAACCATTTAGAAGGACAATAATAATTGTTTCTAATCCTTGTTTTTGTTTCTTAAAAGCTTTGAAAAGTAAGCTTTCTTCGCTTATATCCTATCCCTTTTTACTGTTCAGTCTAAAAGAGGAAGATAAATGGTAAGTGCGACAACCAGAATTGGAATCTCTCATATAGGACTGCAGTGTTACACTTTCCTGTTGAAAGTTTCTATCTCTATCTTTTCCCTAAGTCATTAAACTTTGATTCTTTTAAGTATAACTGCTTTTGAAAAGCATCTTGTAATCAAGTTTAATGCAGTGTCCAGTTACTTTGTTTAGTTACAGATGATAAAAATATTTTCTGTGGGGGGATTTCTTTTCCTGAAGCATTCTTGTTTCTGTTGATGTACACTAGAAATTTGATTGCACTGATTGTTAGTCTACTGGGCAGCCTAGTGATGCCTAAAGAATTTACTAATCTGGTTCTGTGATCTCTACTAGATAAGTTATTGATAAACACTTCCATATTGCTTAGAGATTTTCCCTTGCTTTCTAAAAGTCGGTTAGTTAAAATCTGTTGTTATATCTCAATATATATGCATTCTAATTTCACAGTACCTTAATTGGGAAATTTGTTTTCCTGTAGTATTTTGGTAATTTTTATTTTGTGTACATTCCTCTGTCTGAAAGAGGATCTTGCTGATGGTGATTGAAAACAATATTGTATTTTTCAACAGCACAAGTACTTTTTTAAAAAAAGTACTTCTGAGTGCTGGTTAATACATTAGTTGTTCAAACATGCAGTGGTTACTATCCAGTTGTGAATCGCTTGCTTAGATTTACACTGTTAAATCTCAGTTGGAGCCTTTTTACCAAATAATTCCAGTTCCAGGAAATACTTTTATTCATGTCACCAGCTTGGAGTGATTTGGATTTAGTATATTAAAATAGTTTTCATGTACCTACGATAGAGACCAAAATATATAGGAGTTGTAGTCTTAGTTTTGTGGTGTACAGATTTAATTCTGTAGTAACAGTGTGAAATAGGTGATTATTGTAGTTGATGAAACAGTAGTTGCAATAAAAACTTACAGCTCTTCTTTCTGATAGTTTAAAGAGGGAGTTGAGATTTTTGGATGTCCTTCCCTCCGTGGAAACTCCTCTTTTTCAAAGTGTAACTTGCATATGTAAGGAACTGATTCCTGTGAAATGAGTTTAAACTTCTGAATGCTTCGTGTTCTTTCATGTAAGACTTCATATATTGAATATTTTTCTTTTTAATCTCATAGTCTTTTCAGGAATTATTTGTAGATGTTTTGCTTTTCTTCAGTTTTTCTTGCAGGAGCACTGCTGCTCAAGTATGTTGTGTAAGTATCGGCATAAAGTGGCAGCCACGAAAGCAGTGGAGATTGCTTCAACAGTGGAGATTGTAGTGGACTTGTATCAAAAGCTGTAAGACAGATGAGAGCAAGGGAGTAAAAAAGCACATTGCAAAACAAGAGTGAAGTTCATAGCTTCATATTCCCACCATATTTAGTTTTTCTTCTAAGAGTTTTGTCCTTTGGAGCATTTATAAATGTAGCTTTCCATTTCTTACTGTTTGGAGCCTACCGAGGCGTGTCTTATCCCTCACCTCTACGTTAACGTGCAAGTTAAGCATTAGACATGTTTGAAACAGGACTGTCAGATTTCCTTGGACTTCTCTAATTCAGGAGTAGTTTTTTGCACTTTGTGCCTCTCAAGTGAATGGAACTGTATTTTTATCCCGTCTTCTGATAGTATTATGCTCAAAAGCTCTAGTAGCGTAAGCAGTTTGAATCGTTCACAGAATCATTTCCTGCCTTACTCTAGACTAAGGCAGATGCCCAGTGAAATTAATAAAAAATTTCCAAGGATCTTTTCAAATTTGATCTGTTTTCTAATAATGTTGGTTATTTTATCTTGACAGCTCAGTATACTTAGTGAGGCTGATGCTGGTGAAGTTTTGAGAGGTTGTATAAATAAAGTCTTTGTTTCTTGATGCTTTAAAAAAGCTCTTTTTTATAGATAGAGACATGGTTGGCAGACATGAATTACCTCCTTACTGCAATCCAGCATACATACTTGTGGAAGCAGTAGCTCATGTTTGACGCTTTAAAAGCCTTTTAAGGTAAAACGAGCTTGGAGAAAGGCAGATCATTAAACATAGAACTAAAAAACACCAACCTGACAAAACATTCCTGCTTTTCTTGGCAGTGGTTTTACTTCAGTGATCAAGTTTCTTCCTGTGCCTAATGCAACT